TTTATTGCTTTTAATAACTTTGATGAGTTATATTGTAAGAACTGCTGTTCTTCACATTAAACTTAAAAATGATATAGGGAGATGAATTAAAATTAATAAGACCACATACAATAAATAATTAAACTGCCTTCAGATGATAAAACTGTCTACTACCTGGGTCCATTTTTTAATTCTTTTTTTCAAAACTCTTATCAGTTGAGATGTTTACATTTTAAAGACTACATAACAGTAATTTTTTAATATAAAAAGTATAGAAAGCTTTTTTCCTGAAAGTCACCAATAATCACTTTTTTCCTGAAAGTCACCAATAATCACACCTAGATATGAAAGCATAACAAGTATGCCTGTTTTCATTTTCAGATTCTGCTGTAAATTCTCCTCACCAATGTGTTGAGAAAGCCCAGGTGCTCATAAAAACCAGTGAATATCTACAAATGTTATGTAGTTATAACAATCTGTCTGATATTAATAGACATTGTATGTTAAATGCAAAAAACAGAGGAACTTAAAAGGCAGAAATAAAACACACAAAGAAAATGCATGTTTTTGTTGATTAAGAAGTAACATTTATTTACAATCATAGTAATCTAGTCATCAGTGGTGATGAAATTTGCTACTGAATTTTGAGCATAATATTGCCTTCTCAAGTTGTCTTTTTTAGTAATATACATTTACCCTTGAAGGCTTAATTTTAGGTATTTCTCTCTTTCTTTCTGAGATTTCTCGTACCTACCCATGATCAGTTTGTTTGATTTATGCTGGGTTAAAACATTTTGCTCTGGCCCATACCACACTCTATGACTGGGCTGGAGTTGTAGTAACAGTGGGGAAAGCAACATGAGACAAGCAACAAAATCAAAAACAAAACAAAACAACAGTAACAATAAAAACTGGCCATTTTGGCAACATTTCTATTCTGGGAGAGGTGCTTGACTGCATTTGACTCCAGAAGGTGATGTGGCTAAGGGTGAGAAGGTGGTCCCCATTGTCCCTCCCCTGAAATAGGTCAACTGGAAATGAGTTTCAGAGGCTGGCTGAAGCGGCAGCTTACACTTGCCTCCCAGACTCCTGAGATATTGAAGGCAGAAATGACAGGGTAGCATTTGGTCTGTACTACTCAGGTTAGATGGCTGTCCCAAATAGCTCATTCAGTGGGTGGAAGGCCAGGGTGAGGTTATTAACAGTCTGTCAAACATGGCTTTTTTTTTTTCTCATGCCATTTGTTGGTTGGGAGCATAGGGAGAGAGATTTCCTTCTTTTAAATCCCAATCCAAGGGGAGGAGATGCCATATTGCCAGAAATACATAGCCTTGAGAAATACATTTACTTACTCCTAAGGCTTTTGTGAGACCACAGGGTATCTACTTATAACTGTGGAAAAGTTATGCCAGTTACAAGGAAAGCAATTGTTCAGAGCAAATAAGTTGATGTAGATGATGTTTTTCTTTGAGTAGAAAATAATCACTTTTAGTATAAGGGGTCAGATAATATGATTTATAAGATTCTTTATAGCTCTGTTTCATATAGCTTTAATGATTTAGTTTATTGCATGTTTGCATATGTGCAGTAAGGAAAATAATATGAGGTTTTAAAAAAGGAGCTTATTAAAAGTCAAAAAAATGTGGAATATATGTTATTATTTCTAGGCAAAGAGTTGGAGCTCCATATGCACTAGCCAAATCTATGACCCTTAACCTTTCTAAGGGTGAGAAGGTGGTTCCCATTGTCCCTCCTCTGAAATAGGTCAATTGGAGATGAGTATCCCAGGTTGGTTGAAGTGTGACTTATATTTGCCTTCCAAGCTCCTGAGACACTGAAGGCAGGAATGACAGCATATATGATAAGTGATTATATGATAGTTTACTGCCATATATAGGCCTCCTAGATTTCCATTCAAGCAAAAGCTCTCCACTTACTGCACATGCTATTTTCCTTTCACATGACATCTATTTCTGGAGCTTTTTTTCTTCAAAATGCTTAAGAACTTCATTCAGTCAGTCATTCAACAACTGCTTATTGGGCAACCACTTCTTGCAAGGCAAAAGATGAGAATACTTTGCAGACAAGACAAAATTTCTGTCCTCAAGAAATTTATATCACAATGAGGTAAACTGTGAAAACTAACCAAATGATATCATTTGACAGTTACTAGAAGGAAGGTGAGCATAGGTGCAATGGGAGTGTAGTGAAGTTCAAACACTGAAGAGTCAAACAAACTGACAATAGTCAGATTAACAAGAGAAAAGGCACACAAGTTTATGGATATGCATAAGCATGAGATCCAAACAAGAAATGAAAATCAAAGAAAGGTCAGATGGTTGAGGCTTACACCCTTCCTTACATATCTTCATGGGGAAAGGGAGATGGGGAAAATGTAGACTCTTTTGAGGGGCTGTAAAAGATTTTTAGGGAAAATGAACAGACCCAAAGAACAGACAATAGTTTGTAAATTATTCTCTTTGAAAGCTGAATGGGACCAGTACATTATGGGAAGGTAAGGGGCAGAACTGCACTGTGAACAAAGGTTGTCTTAGTATGCAGATAAAGCCTCAAGTAATCTTTTTGAGCTGCCCTAGGAAGCATAAAATAGAAGTCTGTCTGGGTGTGGTGATGACTTTTATCTATCTTCTTCTATGAGGTTATTTAATGAGATTCCTAAGGAGGGGGACTTAACAGAATTGCATTTCTTTTGGAAGAAGTTCTCCTCAGTCAGATAAGGGAACTGCTAAGTTCCCCTTCCTGCACTTGCAGATGCAGGAACAATAAGAGAAAGAAGGTTTTTGGTTCTGAGGCAGCTTTGAAGGTCTTCCAGTTTCCTTTTATTCAAAATTTCTCAGAGCTGGCTGCTTTGACCCACTCCTGTTATCCTAACACTTTGGGGGGCTGAGGCAAAAAGGATGGCTTGAAGCCAGGAGTTCAAGACTGGCATGAGCAACATAGTGGGACCTTGTTTCTACAAAAGGAAATATCAGAATGTCAAAGCACTTTATTTTGAAATATTGGCCTCCATACCCCAACATTAGCCATGAGAAAGAAGCACCCTTCCTTACATATTTTAAGTTCAGCCAAAAGGTTTCTCCATGCAGAGTGAACTGCAACCTAACTGACTGTGTAAACAGACTATAAACTACTCTTTTGATTGAGTGTTGGCCAATCAAAGGTGGCCAGGTGTTCAAACTGTTTCATATAAGGCAAAGGCTGAGCTGTAATCAATCTAATGTCTCTGTATCTGACTTCCATTTTTTCTGTATGTCACTTTCCATTTTCCTTTCATAAATGTCCTTTGACTATGAGGCTATGCTGGGGATCTCTGATTCTATTCTGGTTCGGGAACTACCCATTCACAAGTTATTATTTCCTATCATCATTTAATTTGAAGGCCACCAATTACTGGTTCCAAGTTGAAAAAAAATTTCTTTAATCCCAACAGGGACACATGGAATGAGCGACTGCACATGGAAGTGTGGCACAGGACAGGCAGAGAGAGCAGTTATGTAGTAGAGAGCTTCAGATGAACAGACTCCTGATCCACAGCACAGAAGAAGAAAAAAATGGGGGTGGAGGGGAAGGCCAGTTCATGTCTGGAAATGGCTCCTCAGGGGGGCTTTCCATGATTAATTCATCACAATTCAGAATTGCCGTCAGTATTGGAAATCCTGTTTATCATCATGCTTAGAAGGGAGCCATCTCTCATAGGTAAACTTAACCTTCATTAAACTCTTTGAACTAATTTCTAAAGCCTGAGTGTCATGGTAAATTTATTATTAGAACCAGCTATTCTTTGACTTTGCAATCTAATTCTAAGACCTAAGAAAAACAAAAACATATGTTTAAAAAAAATAATTGCACATAAATGTTTATAATGGACTCATTAGTGGGAGCAAAAAACTCAAAAACAACCCAATTAGGTAGAACACTCATACAACAGAATAGCATTCAACAAGGCAAAGAATGATCTACTGATACAAGTAACATGACATTCTCAACAATTTCAAAATATTATGCTAAACTTAAAAAGTAGTCAGAAAAAGAATTTACTCTAAACTGCATTTACATGAAGTACTAGGTCAGGCCAAAATTAATCTATGGTAACAGAAATTTTTAAATTTTTGCTTTGCGAGAAGAGGGAGCAATTGACTAGAAAGGTCCTTGTGGAAACTTCCTGGGATGATAGAAATGATCTATATCTTGATTAGAGAGGTAATAAAGATATTTAAATAAAATTATATTTAAAATCTGGACTTTCTGTAGAATGTAATTTTTACCTGAGAAAATTAATGTAAACAAACACACATGAGCGGAAGAGATACCACCATGGAGTTGTAAAAATACAAAGGTAGATCGATGATGAAAAGAACCAAACTCTGTAAAATTGTGAATAGATTTATTCTGAGACAAATATGAGTGGCCATGGCCAGAATCACAATCTCAGGAGGGCCTGAGAACATGCATCCAAGGTGATTAGATTACGACTTGATTTTTTTTTTTTTTTTGAGGTGGAGTCTTGCTCTGGCACCCAGGTTGAAGTGTAATGGTGTGCACTTCAACTCCACCTCCCTGGTTCAAGAGATTCTCCTGCCTCAGTCTCCTGAATAGCTGGGATTATAGGCATTCAGCACTATGCCTGGCTAATTTTTGTATTTTAATAGAGACATGGTTTCACCATGTTGATCAGCCTGGTCTCAAACTCCTGACCTCGTGATTGTAAGGGTTATTGTCTTGTGAGGTTTACTGCCGAGTTAAAAATGAGGAAACTGAGGCTAGCACAAAAAGATTAAATGCCAATTTATTCAGCTCCTGGGCAAGGTTCTGAGGTCCCAGGGAAAGAGGCCAGGAAAGTCACGCCCAACTCCTCTGGGCTTCGGGGGTTTTATAGGGAGTGAAGGCGTTTGATTGGCTGTGGAGAAACAGGACGTGGACGTAGCAAGCTGCTATAGGTAGGTAGGTGGGATTTCCGGATGGGGCGATGTGCTATTGGGCAGGTTTTGGCAGGGCTTTCCAAGGGTGGGCTAGGTGCCAAGTGCAGAGGGGATTTCCAAGGCAGAGCTAGATGATGGGCGTATTCTGGTGACGTAATTTTCAGGCGGGGAGAGGGATTGGCATGTCTGAGCTCCCGGCGAGGCAACTAGCTCCCAAACTGCTGAGATTACAGGAATGAACCACCGTGCATGGCTGATTGTATGTATTTTAAGAAGGACGGAAGTTACAGGCAAACCTCAGCCAGTACACGTAGGATGTACATTGGTTCAGTCTGGAAAGGAGGAACAACTCAAAGCAGGGGTTTCCAGGTAATAGGTGGCAAATGTTTTGATTTAAACCTTTCAAATGTCTTAGATTCTCCGCTAATCTCTTTGGGCGGAGTCAGAAAAAGACCTGGAAAAGGAAGGGGGTTCTCTACAGAACGCAAATTTCCCCCACAAGAGACAGCTTTACAGGGCCATTTCAAAATATATCAAAGAAATATATATTGGAGTAAAATAATTTCCTTCAGGACTTGTGATCTGTCATGGCATGTATACTAGAGTCAGGTTGAAATTTGGTATCTTATTGCTACAAAGTCTGTTTTGTCAGTCTTAAGATCTCTGTTTTAATGCTAATGCTGGTCAGCTGTGCCTGAATTCCAATCACCTCCCACCAGGCCCCACCTCCAGCACTGGGGATTCATTTCAACATGAGCTTTGGATAGGGACACAGATCCAAAAGATATCACAAGATAAATCTTTAATGATTTTTTGGAGATACAAGAATAGTAATTCACAGCATACACAGAAATGAGGTGGTCTGACATATGTGGGAAGAACAAAGAGGAGGTTGGAAATTCCAGGCAAAGAAGAAATGTTAGATATTGTTTCTCCAGAAAGTTCAATGGCACTAGTAAAGTTTTTGAGAGCTGGCAAGTGATGGTGATGTGTATAAGGAGTCTTACAGTTGCAACAGTTTATTTCAGAAACCAGCAAATAAAACTGGTTTCAGGTTACAGCAAGCAGTTTCAGCAGCCAGTCTTGCAGAGAATTAAATTCTTGGAGCAGCATCATGTGCTCTGAAAGCTTTTGCCACCTGGATTCTGCACTCTGTTTTAGTTGAGTATGACAAGAATGCCCCAATTATTATCCCCTTTCACAGAGTAAATGTGAAAAAGTTGATAAATAATGCAGCAGAGTGATTTGCGACTGAATTCAAAGTTTCTGAAAACAAATAAAAGGAATTAACAAGAGAAAAAGCAGGAAAATTAGAATAGAAAAACAAGACCAAAAGACCAAAAATAAAAAAATTATAAAAGAAACACAAACCATGTATTGAAGAAGTAAGGTGGCTAGAGGAATTTGTATATTGTTCCTCTCTCTGATGTCATGGCCCAGGAATGACTATGACTGGCTCTTGGATGGAGGTATTGAGAAGGCTCAGGCTTGCAGGAGAAGTGCTCTGGTGCAGCCACACTGACTCAGCCTTATTTAAAGTATAAAAAAATATTGTTCAGTCACAGTCATGGCAGGCTTTGCCTGATTTTGTAGATTTAGGGGCATTTGCATAAACATAATTCACAATCTTATCCAAAACCTAATCAGCACACTCCAAACAATTCATGCCTGCAATGCTCAGAGATTCCTTGAGATGTTCTCTATTTCTGGTTCCTAATTAAGCTGAAACAAGAACAGCTATTTGCATAGTATTTTGGCATATTCATTCAACCCAGGTAGAACAGAGATTAGTGAAAATGGAAACTAATAAAAGAATAAAATTGCATTATCTTCTGGGAAAAAAGTAGGTATTTGTTTTTGCAGGATTGGTGAATGTTTGTGAGGTTCTGACTTTTCTAAATGGGTGGTGTAATTTTTACCTCTTTTTGTTTGTTTGAGATGGAGTTTAGCTCTGTGGCCAGGCTGGAGTGCAGTGGCGTGATCTCAGCTCACTGCAAACTCCGCCTCCCAGGTTTAAGCGATTCTCCTGCCTCAGCCTCCTGAATAGCTGGGACTACAGGCACGCACCACCATGCCCAGCTAATTTTTGTATTTTTAGTAGAGACAAGATTTTACCATGTTGCCTGGGATGGTTTTGATTTCTTGACCTTGTGATCCACCAGCTGGAATTACAGGTGTGAGCCGCTGGGCCTGGCCTTTGCTTTCATTTGTATGCTGAAATAGCTCACATCCTAGATAACCCTTCTACAAACAACAGATGAATCCATATGATTTAATTCTGACATTTCTTGTCATCGCATTCTGAAATCTTAAGTCATTACTTGTTAAAAAGATCAACTCAACATTGAACTTAAAGAAGCATTTCTTTTTAAGTTCCCTGAAAGTCTTATAAAGAAATATATTATTGCCTATTTCAATCTACAAAATGAATTTCATGTTAGCTAGGTTTTTCCTATATTTTTACATATATAACTAAATATGTATTTTCATAGATTCACATATCATGTCAGAATTTATGATTTCATTTATTGTGCCCCTAAAATTTGTGATGCTTGAAAAACATTTTTGATAAACAAAATTCATACTAGTGTTGACACATATAGAGCATAAATTTCAGCTTGCAAAAACTTAATGGTTAAAAATTATAATCTATACATTTATATTAACAGTGTTTATACATGTACTTTCCTAAACTTCATTATACTTAATTTCAATTTATTTTATACATGGACATTTTTAATTTGACTTAAATTATGTATTTTGTGTGTATAGTGACATCTACAATAAGATCTAGCTTTTGCATTACTCATTTTCACCTCTTTGAAATATATGTAGTATTTTCTGATGTCATTACAGTATTAGATATATAACTTGTTTCTGAACAATTTTAACATTATCTCTACAATCCTTATGGTATATTGCTGAGTTACTTGAGTGCAATCAAATTATGCAAGAATTTAGTTTTGAATGTAGTTTCTATATATATTTATTTTAGAATACATAAATATTTTGCATTAGTAACATGTATATTAAGTGCAATGGATAATTATAAGTTATAGATAATTATAGATAATTGCACTTTGAAAATGGTGACATACACTAGCAGTTATGACTTCTAAGGTTTTTGCCATTTATTGTTATTCACACTAAATCATCATCATCATCAGGGATGACTAGTTATTTTTGTCTCCATTATTAGAAATAAGTTTCCTACTTAAGGTCAAATTATGTCTAAAATTTTACTGACAAATTGGCTATTAGAAACGTTACATTTATTAAGAAACAAAATAAAACAAAGTTGTAAATACTGATTGGACTCCGCCAAGGGTACTTTCTCAGTCCCAGTCCCTTCTCTGAGAATGTTCCCTGACCTGACCATAGAGGTGACCATGATGTTTCAATGTGACCATTACTCTATGGCAACAGTTGATAGAACAAAAGTAGAGATGTCTGGTTAGAATGGTTAATTATGTTAGAAAGGTGTCAACTACTCATAACTTGCCATGTGGTCTTGGTCAAGTTTCTGAACCTCAAATCCACAGTTTCTGTATCTCTAACTTAGGGATCTAATCGTTTTATTTGTATCATTGTGATTTCAGTTAACAATCACCCAAAACTCTGGCTCATTTTTTTAAAACAGTAATGCAGATGTATTCGATATTCATTAATATAACACAAAATTCTAAGAGTGTACAAGTACTGGAATATTTAAATTAGTTACTGTATTACATGGCAAAGGACCCTAGTACTTTCCATCTTTCTGTAAGGTATTTGAGCATTATTACTTAGCAACCTCCTAGTTGAAAGATGATTCTGCCATCTGGTTTTATCCCCTTCTGAAGTATAGCTTCACTTGCAAATATAACTACATCAGATGGAGGAAAGAGAACTTATTTCTTCCTGTGCATTCCTTTTCCTCTTTTTCCTTGGAGCAAAAAGTAACCTTTTCTGGATGTATTTTAACAGACCTCTTCCATATCTTATTGACCAGAAATGAGTGACATGGTCGCCCCAAATCAATTACTGATAAGGCAAATGATAAACTATGTTTGATTTAGATTTATCTTGTTTTGACTTTGGGTCACATGGAGGTGTGGGGTGTACTGCAAATCAGAGTTTTACATACAAGAAAGAACAAGGAAATACCTTTTAGGCAACCAACAGTGTCTTTCATATCACATGGCATTAATGGGCAACAAACCTGATAACGTGTGACAAATCTTAAATTTTAAGGATACGAACAGGTATGCATATTTGGTGTTTCATAACTACTCATAAACAAAATCTACCTTTCTGCCGGGTGTGGTGGCTGAAGCCTGTAATCCCAGCACTTTGGGAGGCTGAGGTGGGTGGATCACTTGAGCTCACGAGTTCGAGACCAGCCTGGGCAACATGGCAAAATCCCATCTGTACTAAAAATACAAAAATTAGCTGAGTGTGGTGGTTCATGCCTTTAGTCCAAGCTACTTAGGAGGCTGAGATGGGAAGACGGCTTGAGTCTGGTAGGCAGAGGTTGCAGTGAGCACAGATTGTGCCACTGCACTCCAGCCTAGGTAATAGAGCCAGACCTTGTCTCAAAATGAACAAACTAACAGTCACCATTCTGACAGTGTAGTTGTTTTTCATTATTAGGAGAAAAGCAATCATCTTAAATATTTTTAAATTAATTCACACTAACTTGTGAATAACTATTAGCCTTCTTATTCTCTTAAAAGTTATTTGTATCTTAAAAAGGAGATGTGTATACGCCAATAATTCAGTAACAAATAGATTTTCCTATATAAAACAAAGTTACCTGAAAAATCTTTGAAATGTGGAAGAAATTACCAAGGAATCTAGTGAAAACACATCTTTCAATTGCCTCTGGAACCTACTACAGAGTCAGAAACCTAAACTGTTCTTTCCTACCAGCTTCTTCCCTTCTAGTTCTGACCTCAGAGCTCCTGCACAGTGCCAATGTTATCCTACAACTTTCATGCATATGATAGAGGAATCACCAGCAATCCTTGAATTCCCCTAATGGATCATTTCAAATCGCATTTGGATTTGATGCCTCAGTTTATCACATTTGACACAGTTTTAAAAGACGGGAAAATATTATTTTGCAGAGCTTCAAGGTTGGGAAGGGAAATTCAGAGCTACTTGTGTTATTTTTAGTACTACCTAGAGGAGCCTCTACATCTGAAAACTTGATTGTTCAGCCTAGGGAGAAAATAGGAGCAATTATTTACCTTTGTACAATTTTAAGTTTGGGTCTGAAAGATATGCAGCAATACCGTGACCAGTAAGCTTTAGGGCAGAACTCTATTTTGCTGATCACTAACTGAGCTGAAATTATCTTATTGTATTTGCTTATATGGCCTAATATATTACCTATGGCTCTGGCACAGTGGTTTCTACATAAAAAAAAAACTTGTAAATTTGAATGGAAAGGAACTGAATTGAAAACACTGATTTTTTATAAGTCTTCTACCATTAAATTGGTAACAAGATTCCACTCCTTAGATATTACTAAAGCTCTGTTTGTTGTCATTTTAGGATCCAAATTTATAGCTGAGTTCATCATGTGCTTAAAACAAACTTCTGAAATTTGTCTTCCTGATTAATTACAGAAAGTTTAAATACTTTTGTTTATTCTATCTAGTGTGGAACACAATTCAAATTTCTTATTCCCAACTATAAAATGCTTTTCCTACTATTCCAAGGTTATTTCTGGAATATGGATTCTTTTATTGAGCATTATGTATTGGTTAATTAATAGATATATATAAATGAGCAAGACTCGATCTCAAAAAAAAAAAAAAAAAAAGGCTAGGCACAGTGGCTCACGCCTGTAATCCCAACACCCTGGGCGGCCAAGGCAGGTGGATCACGTGAGGTTGGGAATTGGAGACCAGCCTAACCAACATGGAGAAACCCTGTCTCTACTAAAACTACAAAATTAGCTGGGCGTGGTGGCACATACATTCATCATATGATAATGCTTATCTTTATGAAAGAAAGGTATTACTCCCAGTAAAATCATTTAGAGTACCTATCTATGAGCAGGAGAGAGCAATATGAGATGGATCCTAACACAAGGCCTATATGTATGTTTTCATTACTTATTTCTAGGTGATTAAGTCTATGTGACCACTAAGGAGGAGCAACCCCTTTACTTGGCCAACAGAGTTCATGAGGCAAATGACTTTACTGAATAGATCAACAGCCTACAGTTCAAATGGTTATGTTTTAACTATCTGTGGTGTCCAGATTGAGTATAACTTGCAGGGGAATTGGCACTTGTCCGCGATGATTTTAGGTTAGGATACCTTTGCTTCAAAATGGAAAATTTTAGCTGAAATAAATGTGTATCACTTGTGAACATTAGAAAGATATGGGGAAAAGATCTATTCAAAAAGAAAATTTTAAATAAAAATTAATAAACTGGAAAACACTTTAAAACAGAATTTATGTCTTTTAATACCCTTATACATCTTAATTATATTGAAAAAATATTTTAAGTGTATTTTTATGCATTTAAATTAGGGGTAGGCAGAAACAGCCTCAGTAACTTTTTGGTTCCACTTCTTAGATATTTTTTCCAACATTTTTTCATATTTTAGACCTAAACAGTACTATTTTCATGTAAAACAAGCAAATAAGTAAATAAATAAAAGAAACAAATACTTAAATTTGGGGGAAGCACTGAACTCTATAACCTAGCTTGCCTCAAGGTGAATTTTGGTTTTGAATAGTTAATTTTAGTTTCTTTATCTGCTGACCTAGGATAGAGATATAATGGAGGAGAATTGGATCATTTTTAAGAGATTTTTTTTTCTTTTAAAATTGCTACTGGGCCTCTGAATGGAAAAAGAGGGCAACTGCAAATGGGCATGAAAGAGCTTTTTAGGCAATGAATATCTTTTAAAACTAGATTGTGGTGATGGTTGCACAAATCTGTAAATTTACTAAAAATTATTGAATTGTACACTTAAAATGGGTGAATTTTATGGTATGTAAATTTACACTTAATTAAAGCTGTTATACATATACATCCCTAAATAAAATAAGCGACCTTCATACAAAGCCAAAAAGTTGTTTTATTGGAGCTTATATGGATTAAATATCTGTTAATGAATGAGATGCATAGCATACTTTGTTAAATATTTTCTGTATTACTTTATTAAGAACATAATTAAAACTAAGCAGGAGAACAAAACCTATTTTAATAAATATTCAATATTAAATTATCACTGTTTCAGATTTATTTACAGGCATCTCTTTTCTATCTGCAGTAGAGTCTTCCTTCTACAAGATACCATGAAGGACCAAAGAAAAGTAAAATTTTCATCTTCAAAATGAGCTTTCATCAAAGAAAAAGGTAGCCTCACATTTCCTTTGTTTAAAATTTTAATTCTCTATGTAATGGGAAAAATCACTTCTTTCATCAACAAGGAGAAAGAATAAATGAACAGAATAAAAAAATGAACAGAATAAAAAAAACCTTGGTTTCCTAACAGCTTAAATCAGATTTAGGGGCCGATATTTCATCTTTTTTCTTTCTTCTGATAGTTACAAATACATACATATAAATACTATTTGGTTAAACTTTCAAAATATGCTTAGTAGATTTTAGAGCCAGGGTTCAAACTGATTGATATCTGGAGCCCACATGCACCTCACTGCACTGTGATCACTGATACACACACAAGTATGTGTATAGAACAGAGAAGTAGTTTTCAAGATGAAACCCTGGGATTGTTTCTCCTGACCAAATCTACTGAGGCTTATACAATTTATTCATTGCTTCTGCAGGAAGAAAGATGGCTCTAAGGAAGAAATTAATGGTGGCAATGTGTGAAGAGGGGTACAAAGAACAGTGGCACGGGTATGATACAAAGAACAGTGGCACGGGTATGACATAAAGTTTTCCATGTAAGAATCCTGTTTATTTCAAGAGCTAGAGACAGTACATACTCAAGTGTTGTGGTCAGGGTAGGAATATAAGGTTGTCATACTGGGGATAATGGTAAAGGAACTCAACTCCAAGGTGGAAATCCTCTATCAGATTGTAACTATTCTCACTCTTTCAAAAGGTCAGGGATTATACACATTTTCCCTTTCAGACACAGAGAAAAGAAGATCACAAATGGTTTAAATACAGATATTTAATTTTCAAGATAAGCCATTTGAAGTAAGCAAATTGAAATCACATATATCTTTCCATGTCTTGGAATTACATGGATCTGTATACTAGCTAGTAATAGCAGAGCTAGTTAGAGAGAGAGAAATATGGCTGATTAATATTAAAGCAAAAATGAGGGCCTTTAGTCACTTCCAGAATGATAATAAATGAATAAATCTTTTTTGCAATTAACATTTAAGCCGTAAAATAAGAAAATATTCATTGTAACATAGAGGTCATTAATATGTGAATAGCATGGATTGTGGAAGATCAGTTCATGTGAAAAGCAAACGAACAAACAAAACAGATGAACAACCTGAAAGAGCTCAAACGAGGGAAAACAGAGATACTTATTTTAGCTACAGATGGCTCACTAAATCCCTTAGTGAGGAGAATTTCGTAATTAAAACCTGAATTGTTATCATTTTGCTTATGCTGTCTAAGTAATAAAGCTTATAGAGTCTCCATACTATAAATTCTAAACCTGTGATTCTATATCTCATTTTGTGGCCTTATGAAATTCTGGCAACATGGTATATAGTAAGAAAAGGACAGACTTGGAGTAAAGAAGACAAGTGCTGTCTTCTGAGCTCTGCCTCTCACTAGCCATTGCCCCTGAGTGATTTACTTATTTGCTCCTCTTCTAAAAATAAAGATAATAGACCAGGCATGGTGGCTCACACCAGTAATCCAAGCATTTTGGAAGCCTGAGTCCAAAGGACTGCTGGAGGCCAGGAGTTTGAGACCAAGCCAAGCAACATAGCAAGACCCCATATTTACAAAAAACAAAAAATTAGCCAGGCATGATCATGCACACCTGTAGTCCCAGCTACTCAGGAGCCTGAGGCAGGAGGATCATGTGAGGCCAGGAGGTCAAGGCTGTAGTGAATCGTGATTGTGCTACTGAACTCTAGTCAGAGTGACAGAAAGAGACCTTTTCTCTAAAAATAACATAAGATAAAATATCAATAAAATAAAATAAAAATGCAGATAACATTATCTATGCTGGTAGCTAAAGATCATCTGTAGAGGAGTGGCAAGAGGATAGCAATCTTGCTAGTAAGGGATGAAGAGATTCGATTTGAAACTGCATTAGCAAAATAAATGATTTTTACTTAAATATGTTTGAAGTGATAGAAATTATAGGGAAGTTAAAAATCACCCCATACTCAAGTTACTCATTGCTACCACCTTGAAATACAAGGTTAGCCAGAAGAATTTTTGGGTAATCTATGCTTCAAACTGACTAGACACTTAGCTTTCTTCATTGTAACCTTCCTGTGAGTTCATATTTTACATAGGTTGATATTAGAATAAAAATTCTGATACTTGGAGAAAAAATAAAAATCAGCTATGCTATACATCTGAAAGGCTAGTGTGGGGAGACCTGTTTAACCTTCTTGGCCACGTACAGCAAATACGTCAATTACTAGGGGCATCTTGAATTACAGAAGAGGACAAAGAGGTTCCCAATATCTGAATAAACTCTTCCTTCCTCCTTTCTTTTCCATTGACAGTGAATTTATGAAAATAACAACACCAGTGCATCACCATTGTAGAAAATGAGAAGAAGACTAACGAGTGCAAAGGAGAAAAGAACACTCATAGATAATCCCACTATATACATATAATCACCATTAATATTTCATTCAGCAATTCCTGGGAATGCCTACTGCATACAGTCTACTCTGCTGGCAGTATAAATACAGAAGTGACTAATACATACTATCTGTTCTCAAAGTAGGGCAGAAAAAAGGGATTTTGCCAGCCTTATGTAATGTACAGATTCAGAATTCATCTTATATTCTTCATGCTGTTTTAAGTCTTTTGTATAAAGCTTAATATTAACATTGTATGATAGGAGAGCCCTTCTGCCTGGTCTTTTGCTCTTAGGAAAGTGAAAGCATATTACCTAACCAGGGCACCTCAGGAGGTGGGTGGTCTGAGGTGAAGTTTACTGTGAACACCTTTGCCCTGCCCCACAAGCCTGGTACATCTCATCTGGGTTCATCTTTTAAGATGTCAAAGTACTCGGCAATGTTTTACAGTATTTGCCACTAAAAGTGTGTCATGTAAATCAATCATGGCTTCAATTTTCCTGTCAGAATTCAGTAACCTTAAACTGAAGCTTTTAGAATTAATCAAAAGAGTAACTCAATTTAATTTTTCATGAGACAGTAACAGTATGGGGCTTATCTTCAACTGTTTGAATTATAAACATTTATTAATAAATATTGTTTAATAAATTTTTACGGAAAGAGTTTAAAAGGTGGATTTTTTTTTAAAATCTAGTCTTATTTTTTGCATAAATAGCCAGCTGCTTTCCTTTTTCCGCCTGAAGGTGAAGAGAATTGCACCTCTCTTCAATGGAAAATCAGAGTGTCTTCAATTGAATAGATAATTTATTCGGTTGTATTATTTAAAGACAAACTGCCTACTTAAACTGTTAATCTTATGGCAATGGGCACAGATCTCCATAGCCCAGTGTCTAGCATATTCTAGGTGCTCAAAAATTATTTAGTAAATAAATAAATATCTGTGTATAAGAGTAAGGGAGCTAGGCAGAAGGTTTGTCTTGATTAGTCATTGCCATATAAACAGAAGAAAAATAGGAAATAAAGCTGTAATCTTCCAGGAAGTCTCAAAAAAATAGTCTTATCATTTAGGCAGCCATTACAAGCTCATTGATAATGTCTTATAATCTTAGAAACTAAACAGCAGAAGCGATATTTTCCTTTACCACTCCTTTCTTTATTTTATAAACCACTTTATTGAGGAATGATTGGCATATAAAAGCTGTGCACATTTAATATATACATCTTGATGAGTTTGGGGATAAGCATCTACCCAGGAAACTGTCAATAGCATCAAGGCCATAGACATATCTATCACCTTCCAAAGTCTTCTCCCCCTTGATTATTATTGCTGTTTTGTTTTGATAAAAACACTTAAGACAAGTTCTACCCTCTTAGCAAATTGTGACTATACAATTCAGTACTCTTAGCTATAGGCACTATACTGTTCCGGGTGTACAGTATATCTCCAGAACTTATTTATCACAAAATTTTCCCATTTCCATACAAAACACACAAAAAGTTATAAATTCTCAAAGCTTCCCATCCCACATTCTTGATATATCCCTGGGGAAAATTCATTCATTTATTCATCTAACTATCTATGCACACAGTCCACACATATTTGTAGAGCAGCTATTCTCTGCCACAACTTTGACTAGGGATTGGGAATACAGACCAGTAAGAAGCAGTTAGTTGTGCTTGCTTTGGAAGCACATATGCTAAAATTGGAATGACACAGAAAAGATTAGCAGGGCCCCTGTAAAAAAAAAAAAAGAAAGAAGAAGCAGTTAGTATTTGTCTTCAAAGAGCTCACAGTCTAATGGGAAAGAAGGACATAAAGAGATAGTTAAAACACCACCAGTTACAGAAATAACTACTGTTATTGCAGGCACATAGAGTAGGGGCTGGCACAAACTTGGGGAGCAAGAAAAAAAATTATGAGAAGGCTTCCTGGAGAAGCTATGCCTGAGCTTAATTTTAAAGGGTAGTAGGATGAAGCTACAAGTTGGGAGTATTCAGGGCCTTTCTATGCAGAGAAAACCACACAAGGAGTGCAATGTGGATAGAGAACATGTGAGGGTTACCAGGGAGCCCAGAGATACAAAGCCAGGGAAGTGACAGAAGCTGGATTGCAAAGGGACTTGTTAATTGAAAATTATTTGAAAACATCAGTTTTAATAGCTACATAATATTCTATCATATCAGTCAACCGTAATCCCTATACTTGTTTTCCTAATATTTAACATTTAGATTATTTGTATTTTTTACTTATTAAATATTTGTGATAACAATTACTGTGCACAAATCCTTGTCTACATTCTTATTTACTTAAGAAAAATATGTTAATGAAATGACTTCAGTTGCAACTAACACAAAAACTGACTCAAAGCGAATTAAAGAATAAAGGACATTTATTGGATCCTATACCTGAAAATACAGAGTAGGAAAGATTTCAGTGTTGGTCTATCCATCAGCTCAATGATGTCAACAAATGCCTAATTTCTCTCTGTCTCTCTCCCCTGAAACCCCAGAGTAAGCTTCCTCTGAAGTCTGGTTCCCCTGGGTTATGGAGTAGCTGCCAGCAGCAATCACAGCTGTGCGATTTCTCGACTTTGTCCAATGGGAGAGTAGAACAACTGTAAACAGGAGGCTGCAATTGCTCATCCAAGCTGAGCCAATTCCAGAGACCACACAATGCCACACACTAATCAAAGGCTCAGGTTGGGATATCTAAGCCAGTATAGGTTTCTGTTTCATCAATTTTATGTTCCAATAGATAATCAAAAAATATGAATACATAATTTACAAGTGAGGAAATTAAAAAAGATTGCAAATATTGAAAGAAAACATTTTATCATAACAAACTGAGGATTTTTCCATGGTTTCTCTGTTTATAAACAAGCAAACAATAAAGGAATGCTGTTTTTCTTGAAGTTTGATAGAGATTTTCTGAGATCCTCCCTGATCTCTGTACCATAAAACTGTTTTTTAAATGCTCACTGTGATAATTAAAATAATACAAATAAACAGGGAATGTTTTCCTCCCCCAAGGAAGATATGTATTTATTGGGACTTTTTTCTAGAATACATAATATATATATTTTTCTGAAAAATATGGCATAGTATCTTATGTATGTTATGTAATTTTCTTTTTTAATTTAAAATATTCCACTTCACAGTAACATAACATTTTATTGTCAGTTCATACAGAATTACCTCATTCTTTTTAACAGCAACATATTCCATTACATGCATCCATAATTTCTTTAGCTAGTCCCCTTTTAATAGACTTTTAGGTTATCTAAAAACATAATGAGGCACCTAGAAGAGGCAATTTTAAAATTTAGTCTAGGTTTTTATACAGTCAAAGAAGATAATTATATACATATTTAATATTACATAATTTATTTGATTGATTAAGTTAGTCTAGAGCCAATGTACTGCTACAGGAAAGCAGTGTCTGACAGACAGCCTCATGGGAAAAAGGATAACATCCACTCTTATGAAAAAGGGATATGTTTTCCAAAAGGGAGGTGGAGATAGATGTCAGGATTAAAATAGTCTGGCATGAGAACAGGTCTTCATTATTCACCAAAAATAATGAATTAGTAAGGGGATTACATATCTTGAGTTATATTTTAGTGTTACTATTATACATACAACATGTTTAAGTATATTGTTTGACAATTATTTTACTTATTTGTACACAGGTTCCTAATTACTGTATGCATCAGGAATTTTGTCAAAAATTGCTTACTTCTCTTCTTCAATAAGGGAGTCAAAATAGTCATTGTACTCAGCTGCCTCTGTGTCAGCCCCCACAACTTTACTTACTACAAACATTATGAAGACAATCACCCTTATAAAATTGCTGAAACCAGTTATTTCTATTCCCCAAAGAAATAGTCTACCATCATTTACCTTCTCCAAACCTGTTTTCAAAACCCCAAAGCAGTAGCAACATTAACTGACCTAGAATTTTATTAAATTTCTCTTACCTGCCACTCCTCTGATGGTATGAGCATATGCATGAACCAGAAGTAAACTGATCTTAAGAAAAAGGGAGAGAAACAGAAATCTAAATATCAGTGCCTGGATGAAGAAAATGTTATCACTTAGAGAGGGGTTAGTTCATGGTATAAAGATTACAGAGTTATTGTATACATCTCATTGTTCTATTTTTTAATAGCAATGGAATATAATTGAATAAATACCCACGTAAGTATGAATAGCTATTTTTTGCAATATATCTTATCAGACAAAGTACTAAGCTGCAAGTTTTATTGAAACATTTGGCATGTTGTCCTGATTTTAAGATTTGCTTGTTCTTTGCAGGTAGGACTAGATGAAGGGTACAAGTGTGAATGAAATGTTTAACTTCTCACAATTTCTTTGAAATAATGCAGGTGTGTTGAATATTCTGCAAATCCCTAACCATGCAGCACTATACCTCCCTCAATTCATATTCCTTTTTGTGCTTCAAAGACTTGTTTAGGTCATTCTTCTAATTATGTTTATATTGTAGAGATGCTTATCCTACGACGGTATTATGAGTGGTTATCACATTCTAAAATGCCAGATACTTTTTAATTGTAATGGTGCCTACTTTTTTATCGAAACTATTCATATTTTATTACTGTAAACAACTTTGATCATAATGATGCCATTCAAAAGAGCTGATCAAGCTGAGAAAAATGACACTACAGTCGTAAAGTCACTCTATATGTAGCTATTAACATTTTATAGTGTATATAAGGAAAACTGTTTTAAGTTGCAACCATAGACAAATAAGAAAATTAATTTTAAATGCAAGTCTATGTTTTTAAGATTGGAATAGTCTACTTAAATAATTATTGCAAACAGACACTTTTACATTTCAACACATGACCTTCAATACAAAAAACAACATATACTGTATTTGGCATTAGAGAAATTCAAATCATCTTACTTTGCCAGGGTAGAAAACAAGGTCTTTCATTCCTAGAAACAAGTAAGAAAGAAACACAGCATAACCTCACTTCAAAGCTATTCTCTGGTTACATTCCAGAAGGGGCAAGGTTATATATGAGGAGTTTTAAGAGGCACATTCTTACGATACTACTAGGATGTAACACTCTGTTTAAATGGAATCAAAGACACTTACCAGGTCTCTACTATGTATGTGATGTGTTGCAAAGTATGGCAGAGAACATGGCCTGTGACATAAGGAAGCCTATAATCGAGTTGAGGAGAGATGAGATAAACACATGAACAATTAAAGACTAGAATCTCAGTTCCACAAATATTTAAATAACAGTGTGACAACAATAGAAGCAATACAAGCCCATGTGTATACATAATGGCCAGGAAAACTAGAGAGAAAACAGCCACTACTGGAATTAAGAGGGAGAGTTTTAAATTGGGGTGGTGAAATATTTTTTTTATTGAATTTTAGGTTTTGGGGTACATGTGCAGAACATGCAAGATAGTTGCATAGGTACACACATGGCAGTGTGTTTTGCTGCCTTCCCCCCTTCACCCACATTTGGCATTTCTCCCCAGGCTATCCCTCCCCAGCTCCCCTCCCCGCTCTCCCCTCCCCTATTGCCCCCAATAGACCCCAGTGTGTAGTACTCTCTTCCCTGTGTCCATGTGTTCTCATTCCTCATCACCCGCCTATGAGTGAGAATATGCAGTATTTCATTTTCTGTTCTTGTGTCAGTTTGCTGAGAATGATGTTCTCCAGATTCATCCATGTCCCTACAAAGGACACGAACTCATCATTTTTGATTGCTGCATAATATTCCATGATGTATATGTGCCACACTTTCCCAGTCCAGTCTATCATCGATGGGCATTTGGGTTGGTTCCAGGTCTTTGCTATTGTAAACAGTGCTGCAATGAACATTTGTGTGCATGTGTCCTTATAGTAGAATGATTTATAGTCCTTTGGATATATACCCAGTAATGGGATTGCTGGGTCAAATGGAATTTCTATTTCTAAGGCCTTGAGGAATCGCCACACTGTCTTCCACAATGGTTGAACTAATTTACACTCCCACCAACAGTGTAAAAGTGTTCCTATTTCTCCACATACTCTCTAGCATCTGCTTTTTAATGATCGCCATTCTAAGTGGCATGAGGTGGTATCTCAATGTGGTTTTGATTTGCATCTCTCTAATGACCGGTGATAATGAGCATTTTTTCATATGTTTGTTGGCCTTATGTATGTCTTCTTTTGTAAAGTGTCTGTTCATATCCTTTGCCCATTTTTGGATGAGCTTGTTTTAGTCCTGTAAATCTGTTTGAGTTCTTTGTAAATTCTGGATATCAGCCCTTTGTCAGATGGGTAAACTGCAAAAATTTTTTCCCATTCTGTTGGTTGTCGATTCACTCTAGTGACTGTTTCTTTTGCCGTGCAGAAGCTGTGGAGTTTGATTAGGTCCCATTTGTCTACTTTGGCTTTTGTTGCCAATGTTTTTGGTGTTTTGTTCATGAAGTCCTTGCCTACTCCTATGTCCTGAATGGTTTTGCCTAGATTTTCTTCTAGGGTTTTTATGGTGCCAGGTCTTATGTTTAAGTCTTGAATCCATCTGGAGTTAATTTTAGTGTAAGGTGTTAGGAAGGGGTCCAGTTTCTGCTTTCTGCCCATGGCTAGCCAGTTTTCCCAATACCATTTATTAAACAGGGAATCCTTTCCCCATTGCTTGTTCTTGCCAGGTTTATCAAAGATTGTATGGTTGTAGATATGTTGTGTTGCCTCCGATGCCTCCATTCTGTTCCATTGGCCTATATCTCTGTTTTGGTACCAGTACCATGCTGTTTTGATTACTGTAGCTTTGTATAATAGTTTGAAGTCCAGTAGTGTGATGCCTCCCGCTGTGTTCTTTTTGCTTAGAATTGACTTGGCTATGCGGGCTCTCTTTTGGTTCCATATGAAGTTCATGGTGGTTTTCTCCTGTTTTGTGAAAAAAGTCAATGGTAGCTTGATGCATATAGCGTTGATTCTGTAAATTACTTTGGGCAGTATGGCCATTTTCATGATATTGATTCTTCCTAACCATGAAAATGGAATGTTTCTCCATCTGTTTGTGTCCTCCTTATTTCGTTGAGCAGTGGTTTGTAGTTTTCCTTGAAGCGGTCCCTTACGTTCCTTGTAAATTGTATTCCTAGGTATTTTATTCTTTTTGTAGCA